CACCACCACCCCCACCCCCTGGAGGAACGGGGGTCTTAGGCATGTTGGCCCGGTAAATATATATTTAAAGACTGGAGGTGAAGGGGTGGAGGAGAAGGAGTGGGAGGACGGGGAATTCAGGGACAGCAGCAGCTGCTGAGCTCAGTCCAATGGATCCAAATTACAGCACAGTTAAAGAATTACCAAAAATCTCATCTTTAAGTGTTGAGAAAAGTTCTGATCAAGAGAAAGAGTCTCTGAAAGCACAGACAGACAGCTTAATGCACCCGGTTCTATGCAAAATGTCCTTGTATTTGAAATAGTTCTTTTAACATTGTCTCCATGGTGTTTAGAAGAAACAAACCTAGAACTTCACAGATCCTCCACCATATTTAAATCAGATTTTCCACAATTCACTATCTGTTCCACCCAAATTACCTTGCTTGTTCCTGAAAAACTCAACCTTAGTCTCATCTGAGTAAAGCCCACAAGTAACGTTAAAGTCCTGTTTAAGTTTTAAATGATACAAGAGGAAATAACCACTTATTGTATGCCTGTGTTTACCATCCAACTTTTGTTATAGAAACCTAGGGTCTCCATGATGTCACTTTTAGTCATAGTCAGAGGCCAGGTGACACTGATTGCATGGTAGCCCTAATTCTTCTGTCGGACTGCCACAGATCTGCTATGGTTACAGCGTAGCTTGCCATAGTAACGCTGTCAGGATGTGACCTCATGTGTAAAGTATCTGCTGTGTGCAGTCAGGTCTTCTCAATGCATCAGGATGCCTGCTATCAGCAAGTTTTAAATTTCTCGGCTGTCTTTTTTATTGTCAACAAGGTTCTTTAGACATAAATACACAGATCATGTTAGCATTCTGAGAGGCATTCAAACAGTTGTCCTTAATATATGAAAACTTAACAAGCTAAGCAAGATAATAAGAAAAAAATATTTTTGGCTTTTTCTCACTAATAAGGTTCAAAACACATGTACCTTTTTGGTTGGTGTATTTTTTATTTTTTTTTTCCCAGTTTAAGAAGTTCCTCAGTTTAATACATTTGATGGCTTTATACTGTAATTTACTGCAGCTATCTTTTCAACTCTCAAAAACATGACATTTTAATCAAAGGGTGGACCAAGAACAGTTTGGCAACCACTCACCTAAGAGCAAAAACATTTTGCAGTTCAAGCTGCAATAATAGATGCTTTTTTTTGGTTTGTTAACAGGAGAAACATGAGTCTGAAAGAAGCTGTAAAAAATGAGTTTCCACATTGTTTAGATGTGTGGTATTTTTAACCAAAACAAAACTGTTTCAGGATAAATATAAACATAAGTCCCTTCTTTACATGAAAAATCTGATTACATATGTCTTAGGGCACACTTTTATAGATAATGGTGGCAGATAAAGAATTGTTTTTCCCCTTCTTTTTTCTCTCATAGCACCAGTCTTCTTCAGAATAAATAAATCTCTGTGTTTAGTGTGTCGGGAGTTAAAGCCATCTGATTCTCCCTCTCTTGCTTTGGAACTGTCAGTCATCTCTATAAAGAGCTTCAGATCTCAATCTCAGTCAATGTTTGGACTCTGCTGCCCAGGGGAAAGTAAAAAGGGCAGAGCTACAGAGTCTAATCCTCTAAAAAACATTCCCGCTCTGAGTAATCAGAACAGACAACTGGAGCTTCCCTATATCTGTCACTGCAGAAATACAGAAACACTCATGAGCTCTTGTTGATATACTTGTTTTACAGCTGGTCGTATGAACATAAGTGTAAAAACCAAGGAGGACTTATGAATCACTGTATGGTTGTTTCCATCGTCCAGTGCTTTGCATCTTCCTGAAATGTCAAAGTGTCCTCTTACACCAAGGTTCTAATTTTAGCTTGGGAGTGAGGTTCGTGAGAGTACTGACGCTCCCCTCAAAGTTTACTGCATGGCCCACATCCAGTGGAGATCTGAATCAGGACCCTTTGGTATTTTGACACCTATTTTTAAAGGGGGGGTAGGTGGAGTTTCCCTTCTCTCTCTCACTCGCAGATCTGAGTTAGGGTCACTGCAGTTGGGTGTTGCCACTCCCTTCTCCAGCTGGTATCCCCAACGATCCTCACTGAAGCCTCCTGACTAAACCTGCAAATTTACACCTTCTGCTAAAGTTTTCCCGAAACATCCAAATGGACCAGCACAAGCTTCGCTCAGCAGGCGTTCAGGAGAAGTTGGAGATCATCGGGGTGGAAGATGAGGCCGGCAACCCCATCAGTGCCCTCACCATCCTATCTCTGCTGGAGCGCGTCGCCGGCATCATCGACAATGTCCAGTCTTGCCAGCAGCGCATGGAGGAGCGTCAGCTGGAGTTGGAGAACAACATCAAAACCATCCAGGGCGATGTCCTGAAGCTGGCTAAGGACCACAGCGACACCAGCGGCACTGTGGAGAAGCTCCTGCAGAAGACCCGCAAAGTGAGCGCCAATGTCAAGGAGGTCCGCAGTCGTGTTGAGAAGCAAAATGTCAGAGTCAAAAAGGTGGAATCAACGCAAGATGAGCTGCTCACCCGCAACAAGTTCAGAGTTGTCATCTACCAGGTAAGAGGAGATGCTAGGAGTGTGCATTGACCTGTCATCATGCTCTGTTGTAACCAGAGTCTATAGCTGTTGACTTCTGGGGGTTTCTTTCTTTCTAATTGTAGTGCTACATTCAGCACATCTAAAAAAAATTTATTCTAATTTAGGAGTGGCCAATTCCAGTTCCCGAGGGCCTCTATCCTCCATTTAATTCAGGTGCGTTGGACAGAGGATAAATCTAATAGCTACAGGATACTGGAGTCACCCACCTCTGGTCTAACCTATAGCCTGAAAACTCACTTTAGTAAGCTCAAGTCTGCATCTTTAGTCAGTGAAGAAGTTTGATCTGTTTTCCTAACACAGGAGCAAGAGGAACTATGGATGTGGAAAAAAGAAAAATCGGGTTAGATCTTTACTTGGATGAACTATGACTCACATCATTAGGCAGCCGATGAAGGGAGCTTAAGAAACAGATGAGAGATGAAGGGCGGCTGAAGATCAAACTCTTAAGAGCCCTTCACTCTATAACCCTTAATAGAAAAAGCATTATGATAGGAGGCCAACTAAAGATCTTAATCAGCCTCAAAAAAACAGGAAAACAAGGTGAATCACTGTAGCATAACACTGAACCACTCAGTTTGGAGCCATTACAACTTTCACGATTTAGTATGCCAAGAATATTGCCTGTTAACATGAAAGTTTGAATATCAATCAAAAGCATGTTTTTCATCTCCAGATGGGGACATGTTCTGATCTGTAAGAGTCTGAAAAAACCTGGTCTGCATGCAAAGAGGGTTGATGTTGAAGAGATGGATGGGCTTTATAAGGGGATTTAATTGGACCGTTGTGGAATTTACTTTGGAGGCCGCTGGTCCAGCATTAAGAGAAGCTGATCGGGCTTTTTGCCGACAATCAAAGGGGGGTTGGATTACGTCTAACAGGAGAGTTATGTTAGATTTTTAATCAGAAAGAAGATCAGACATTTGAAGGTAAACTGCTTTTTGGATGCTGTAAGATTTGAAAAAAATTCTACCAAATCTATTAAAGAAGAGATTATATAAAACTCTCTTATGCTGATATATCAAAGCTGCCAGTTTTATTCCCAATATATGTTCTAATTTTAGTCCATTTCAGGGAAATTTTACAGCCTACACAGGTTAATTTGATAATTTCCTCTGGACCAGAAATCATTTGTTCACTGTTCATATACAGCTTCATCAGCAAATCAACACCATCACTAAGATGGATCTGTTGCATCAGGTCAGCAATGTTTGGACCTTGGCAACAGCCAAAAACAGCAAAGACATGTCTATCCTGACAGTTTCTACAGTATTTTAATGAGAGATAAATATAAATGCAGAAACCAAGAGTGATCATAGAGGCAGACAGCTTTCCTTCCCAGTTTGTCTCAACTGGCCTGTTTTTATGATGTTTTTTTAGTTTTATTTTTTGGAAGTGTCAGATCCTTCTCAAGAGCTGATAGATATTATCAGTTCATTTCACACCTCTTATTTTAAATAGTCAGTTTCTCAAGAAGTAAATGGTGGAAGAATGCATGGCATATAATTTTCGTCTGTGGTAACAGGTGAAAATATAGATTTGGTGTTATTCTAATGTGTCAAATGAATGTGGAGCTTTTTAGCTGTGTCTTCAGTGAATGTTGGGAAAGCTGTGGGAGTATCGGATGCTGCAGTCTGAATTCTAGACCTGACTGGTCCCAGTATAAAATCAAAGCAGGTAATTGGTTAAAATCAATCAATACTCCATCAGTGTTTCTGCAGTGTCTGGTGTTCATGGACAGAAACTAAAGGTATACAGAGGAGGATGTTAGGTTGTAGAATGCCAGGGTCTAATCTCTGTATGAAGGTCTTCTCTCAGGGTCTTTGGACCATAACCAGAGGTTCACAGCATAATGTTGAGGGGAGGAGATGGTGTTTCCAAAATGAATCCAGGTGAAGGATTTGAAGCCTCTTACTGTCTTTTTCAGGTTTGATGCTAAGGTGGAGTAGGAAATGGTAGACAGCTTGAGGGATCCACAGTAATGAGACAATTACTCCAGTCTATCAAGGTGAAGGTGTTGGCCAACAAGCTTTTAATTTACTGGTTCCTCAGTTACTCAATGCAATCAACTTGTCTCCTTAGTAAACTTTTTACCAATCTGACTTTATGATCTGATTGAACTGTCTCAATGAAGTACTTCAAGATGATGTGTTGTGAATTGGCGCTACATAGATACACTGAATTACCTTTGGTCATGACAAAAATACAAGGAGATCTTGAAAAGTTACCTTGGAGATAAAGCAGGATTTTCATTACTCAGGCACACTTTAGAGTAGAGCTGCTGCACCTTTGCAGTCGAAATAATCAAATTAGTTTATTTGATAGAGATACCTACAAATCAAACATGCCTGCTGATCACTCTCAACATTTTGAGCAAGAGTCCATCCATCCTCCCATCCAGCTTCGAACACGCTTAATCCCAAGTGGGGTCGCGAGGGGTGCTGGTGCCTATCTCCAGCTGTCAATGGGCGAGAGGCGGGGTACACCCTGGACAGGTCGCTGGTCCATAGCAGTTGAGCAAGAGTCACATTTGCCAAATCAGTTTCACAAATGCTCAGAAATAATATATACAGTACTCTGATATGCAGATCAGTGGAAAGCCTAAGGTAAAGTGCCGCACCCAACATTCTATTGACATGTGACAGTAGGAAGCCAAATAACTTCTCTTCCCATTGAGTCACAGTTGCCCCATGAGGATTCATTAGAGGAGGGGTCTTCAATACCAGTCCCGAGGTTAGGTGCCCTGCACCTTTTAGATGCTGTCTCTGTTTCCACACCTGAATCAATTGGCTTAATTACCTCCTCTGTATGCAGTCAGGTTTTCCAGATTCCTGCTAATGGCCTAATTGTTTGGCTCAGGTCTTCTGAAGCAAAGACATATTGTTGAGGTGAAGCTGCAGTATAACCAAAGAAGCCTGCTGTAGAAGAATACCACATATGTCATCTCATTATGCTGCTGTCAATACAGCAATCTTATTTCAATTGGTTAACTTAAACTGAAGTTTATCTAAGCAGGTTGCTTAGCCAGACCACCGGGACACATCAAGAAGAAACGATGAAAAAAAATCGGATTTTCCTGATTTACTCAACTTATTAAGTCTCACTACAGGTGGTACTTTCCAGATCTCTCTGTCTCTCTTTGAGCTCTATCTCTTTAGTCTGAATATTGCAATGTTTAAAATAAAAGGGTAACCTCTCCTATTAGCATTGTGAACTTGATTTTCCATCTGGATCTGGGAATGTATCTGCCTTTCATCTGAAGTTGAAGCTCATTAATGTGCCGCTCTGCAGAGACCCATTTGGTCCTCTGTCCTCGCTGATGTCCAGATTTTCAGAATAGTAACTGGAGCTCTGTGTGCAGCGAACAGCTGCTGTGGATCCGTGACAGAGGGACCTATTCTGGGATCACAGCATTCTCCTGCACTGCCAAAAGGGACAGGCCATAAACTGCTGTCACCTCGAGTCAGAGTCTGAGGCGGCAGCTCGGTACTTGGATCAATAGACAGCGAGAGGCGGCTGTCAGTCACCTGCTGCTGAGAACTGCTGTTAGCCTATAGCAGTGGTTTACAAACATAGTCCTCAGGATCCACCGTTCTGCATGTTAAAAGTGTTTCCCCGCCTCCTTACACCTGACATTTAACTGGGTGATTAACGGGCCAATGGATGCTGAGGAAGTAATGGAATCAATCAACAAGGTGTGTTGGCGGAAAACCAAATCTAAAACCTGCAGGACAGTGGGGACAAGGGCTGGAACTGACAATTGCTTTGCAAGAGCATATCTACAGATGAAAACATTTTTTAAATGTGAAATGCAAAATATTTCTATTTTTTTTCACAATTAGTGCATAATTACTACTCCAAGTGGGTTGTTCTGTCATCTATAGGTATGTTTTAGAGTCTCTATACTCCAGTTAATGATTAATTAATTACTAAATTGGTTGACGATTATTTCCATAATTGACTAATCACGATTAATGCGATTAATTGTTTCAGCCGTAATGGGGACCAAGTCTGAAAACCACAGTCCTAAAAGACATTAGCAGATTTAATAGTAAACAATTGATCTGCAGGTTAGTACAGCCACCAGAGGGCAGTGGAGGAATCATACAAGTAATTATCTTCAGGTGTTTAGTGTAGCTCAGTTTTATTTTTCTAACCTAAGTAAGTGAACCCGCTTTTTTAAGTTACATTCTGCCTTTTTTTATTGCGTTGTTGAGACGATACTTTTTAAGCCTACTTCAGACATTTTTTCACTGGATGAGAGCTGGTTCATTTACGTGGTTTGGACTCTTCAGAAATTAGATCCTTCTTTCCAGCAATTATTGCAGGCACCACCATGAACAGATTGGACTCCCTCTTGTCTCCCTTCTGCCACCAGGTTCTTTTGCTTTGGTTCATTGTTCAGATGCAGAGACTGTAGCATCAAGCTTATGCTGTGATGTAGAGAATGATGGCATCAACCTTAAAAGAAACAAATTCTTTCAAGGTACATGTAAAACAGATATTTATCTTATCCACATAACAATCTTGGCGGTTCAACTGTGTGACCCAAAACTGTAGCTGGATCCAGTCAGAATATATGTTCAGGTGAAGAACACGATTACAGCTTTGTTAACCAGGTTAACATGCCGGGGAGGCTTATGGAAGCTGATCTGCAGAAAGACAAAATATCTGTGGCTGTAAATTAGATTTGGACTCTGGAAACTCATCATCTGAAAAGGCCAAACGTTTCATTAGGACAGTTTTAAAAACCAAACACTGGATGTTGTATTTAAAACAGTTCCTCTACAGTTCTTACCATCTCCTTGATATGCATCCATGTCACTACCAGAAAATCAAATCAAATAGTGTGCATGAAAAACAGAAAAGAGATGCATATTAATAAAAACCACTGTTTCCTAATAAAAACAATAGCATGATCCATAAATACTGTTCAGATTCACCCTAATGAAGCAACTTTTTTTTCTTCAATCTACTTTTCTATTTGGAGTCAGTTTAGTCAAACAGTGTCTTTTTTTTTTTTCAATCTTTCATTTACTTCCTTGGCAGCTGAGAAATGGACCAGAGTTTGATCTTCAACCAGAGGTGAAACCTCATCATTAATGGATGTTCTGTTCAGATGCTCCCTGTGGTTTTCTCAGCTCCACCTGATAACCCTCTGCGTCCAGGTTCAGCCCATTTTGATCCCAGCAGTCCAACCTGTTTAGGAGAGTGTTGAGTTTTCTCATGACGGATGTTCGCTCCGTTATTCTGAGGCCTCCGTCCTTGTCCTAATATAGAGCTACGGCTGTGGTGATTTAACCAGGAGATCTGGGTTGAAGAGGCTGGAGGCTGAATGATGACAGTAATAAGAAAAAGATGAATGGCCGTTGCTACCCTTCCAGGGCTCCTTTATTCCCGTTGCTGTTCACAGGAACAGACTATACTGAAATGTTTAATTTTAGAAGAGCTAATGGCTTTTAGTCTGGGATTTTTTGTGGTGTAGGCCTGTGGGAAGTGATGAGCGGTGACCTGTAAACCACAGGTTGCATCAGAAAGCTTGTAGTTTTGCAGCAAATATTAATACAGTATAAAGAGACAAAAATTGCTATAAAAAGGGTTAGGGTTGAACTATTTTGCTTATATCAATAATATAGTTTATTGCAGTGTATTTTTCAACATTTTTCTTTTTTGATTGTTATGTATCATTTTGTGTAATACACATATTAAAGATGTTTATGTTTCCCTGAGGCTTGTTTGCTTGCGGAGCTCTTTAGTTTTTGCTCTGATTTTTTAAAGCTTGGTGTTCCTGGTTCTCTCTTAATGAGCATTGATCATTTATTTATTTTTCTCAAAATCATAATATATATATTTTTTGTTTGCTATTCATAGATTTTTATTTTTTTTTTTTTGCCTTCTATATATTGCTTGTGACAGCATGAGTTCCAAAAGTATTTAAACCCCTCTTTTCACATTATTTTTAACAACCAACAACTTTAGAGTATTGCTCAATCCATCATCTGAACATTGAGAGAGGATTGACCAACTGCACACCTACCAAGACATGGACGTCCAATTAAAGGACAGCATTGATAAGACAGCTTGCCAAGATGTTCACAGCTTAGAAAAGATGCAGAGATCTGCGGTCCAGGTTCTGATTGTAGAACAAGAACAAGAAAAAAAAAAAAAATTGGTAAGACAGTAAGTTTTATGAATTCTGGTTTCAAGTTTACTACAAAAATAAAATAAAGAGAGTAAACAAACTTCATAATGTGAGAGGATGCTAAATGTTTGGTTGAACGAAAAAAAATGTTTTATTGAAAAATTACCTGATCGTCCTTGGACAAGCCCTCAACAGCATTGAGCAGGGTGTTGGCAGGATCATGCTGTGGGGAGGCATTTCTTATGGAGACAGAAAGAAGCTGGTTAGAGTTGATAAATTCAGATAAAACATTAAAAAATAATTCATTAGCATCTGCTAAAGACTTTAGCCTGGAGTTAAGGTTCAGCTTTTAAAGAACAACCACATTCTCCATCAAGTTGGAATTATTTCATTTTATGCTCCAATGAAAAAAAAGGAAAACTGTCCATCTTTAATTGTGCGAAGTTGGAGAAAAAACATTTTATTCCGCAGAATGTACCTCTAAAAAGTAGTGACAAGAGGTGCTGGATTTGCATAAAAACTCTGAAGGTCATTTATTCTTTTATGATGAGCACCAGGCCACGTAGTGAGGATCATCTTCCAGTTAATCGCCACTTTGTGTTCGTCTTTCACACCAAAATCTCCTTATAGGAGTATGTATGGGTTGGAGGTTTCTGTTCATCCTTCTCTGATTTTCCATTCGTTTAATTTGAAAATGTTTTGTGTTTCTTCTTAAAAAAAAGTCTTTAGGATGTAATGAAACTATGCTTTTATGAACCTTGTGTTTAGAATGTCTAGAATGAAAATAATCTGATTAAGCCTTAAAACATTACTTTTAGCTCTGTTTTATCAAAATTCATATTAGCTGGATCTACACTGACCTTCTAAAAAAGAAGAGATTGTTGACATCTGTTTACAGGAATATGAGACACTATGATGACTGAATTAATCCTTCCTCAGTAGGATTTATTCATTAATAATTTTATAGTGGGGATCACCTGTCTACTTGAAATTAATTTAAAGTTATAAAATCTAATCCTTTGTTTAAAACTCTTAAAGCAGAAGCAGCTTCACCTCAGACCTCAACTGAAGTCGTTTCAGTTTAGGTCCAGTTTTCTTCCCCAGGTCAAAGGTGAAGCTATGTTGTGAAATACGGTGTGTTTTTATGGCACCGTGTCTGTGCGCTCCTATAATCTCCACCTCTGATTGTCTGAACTTCCTGTCGGTGACTCTTCCTCTTCATCACCTCTTGGGTTATTAATACATCCTCTGACCCAAATTCCCGGTCGCTGTAATTATGGTGTCATTCACCATATTCAGGCTCGCTCTGACAACACCTCCATGATTAATGAGTGTGATCATTGCAGGAGGCCACAGCTTCAGCATGATTAACTCTCTTTTCACAGCCAAAGTCGTCTGTGGGGCGCAGCAGGTGAATTCTCCTGCTGCACCTTCTGTTACCATGATCACTTTGGCTCTTTTGAATCTTAAAACCCGCTTTTTAGATGCTGAAATGAGAGGATGATTAGAGGATGAATACCTGCCGAGGTTAATGTGCACTTTTAACACACTCTCGGCAGTCAGATTATTTCTGTAGGAATTATGAATACCTGATCCATTAATCCTCAGCTGTTACCAGATGGGGAGATTATTATTAACACTGGTCTGCAATTTTAGGAGCCAGCAGGTTCTTCTCTCAATGAGCTCCTCGTATATAAAAATAGAGAAACTTGATCTCATGATGATAGCTGTATATTCAGACTGTAAAAAGGGGCTATAGGTCAGGTCTAACAGAGCATCTCTGAGGATTATCATGTTTCTGTCCGAGCTGCCTTCGGTTTACTAAGCAGCAGAGTAATTTAACCGTAATGGATTGAAGAGATCAGATTCATCTGCACTCGGAGAGCTGAGCCGTCCGCTGAGAAAATGGCGAGTCTGATGTATGATAAGACGACATTCAGATGGAACTGCATTAAAGGTGAAAGAATTGAGAAAAATCAAGGCTCACTAATCGGCTCCTTTAGATTAACATTCCTTTAAACAGGAATGTTTGGGGAAAATAAACTTTTTATTCAAACATAATCATCTTTTTTTGTCATTTCAACTTTTGTAAATTTCAGTAAGTTTGTCTGTATGCAGACCATCCTTTGGGGAGCTGTAGACTATACCAGAAGAACCCTTAACCGTAGAAAGAGAGCATTTTAGGGCCTTTTTAAGGGTCTTGCTTAGGGATAAATTGGGGTTGTCAAAGGGATTTGAACTTGCAGCTCCCCAAGGATGAAAACCCTCTGCTCTATCACTCGCTCACAAAATGTAATGGTAAAAGATATTTTTTCATTTGAGAGACTTTTTTTTTTCATTGTGTTGCTGAAAATGCACAGATACTAGTTTGTTTTAACTAGAGATTTACCAATCTAGTTTTTTTTTCAATCCAATTCTAATACCGAACTCCTGAGCTGATCGTATCTGCTGATTCAACTGATTTGATTCAACTGTTGAATGAATGACCCATATCTTGCCGTGGGAATGACTTTGATATAAACATAAAAAAGGAGAAATGCACTTTATATTATTCATAAACAAATAAGCAGCAAAAAAAAAAAAAAAAAAAGAAAGAAATACGAGTCCAAATGCCCTGAAATGGATGTCATATATTCGATATAAAATCACATATATCTGATCCAGGTATCGGATTGGTGCATCTTAATTTGACATTTTAGTCATTTATTAAATACATTTTTTAATCCTATCAACCACTGAATCCAAAATAATTTGTACTCCAGTTAGATTTAGATTTAAAGGTATCTTTATTTTTTACCAATACTTTATTTTTTGATTAATGGGTTATTGATGTTTTAGAATAGTTAGAAAGTCCTACGTTTTATATATAAAATAGAGAGTTTGTGAAGGAAATCAAAAAATAAAAGGAGATGGTGAGGTAGACAAACAACTTTCAAGTTTGGAGGTCATTGAAACAAATGATCAAACGTATCAGAGTAAACATTTAAAACAAAAACATAAAGAAACTACCAGCATTATAATAAGTGTGTGATTCTTGTAATGTTAACTAAGGCTTTCTAATGACATTTGAGAAAGTTCTAAATGTTTCTTGATGTGCACCTTTAGTACATATGTTTCATAAAACACTTAAGAAAATACAATTATTAATCGTCTTTTAATAAATGCTTGTTATGCTTAAAAACTACTTATTTTTAAAATCTGTGCTCTAGTTCATTGGAGCTGTAATTGGGCCTCAGTGTAATGTACTGTAGTTATTTCAGAGGTGTTAGGTCTGTCAAACATGTAATCTAGTTTTTGGTACATATCTCTCTTCATGGTGTAAAAGTAATAAGATTTAAGATTTCACAATTAATGTTAAGCTCCTCTTTGTCATTGTAGGGTGAAACGGAGGTTCCATCAGTGGCTGTCACCAAATCGCCCAAAGGACTTGGCCTTGAAGGTTTGGAGATTGAGCCCGATGCCTACGACATCCCTGCAGACCTCTCCTCTGATGAAGAATACCTGAGGGACGAGGAGCCTGATCCCTCACGAGCTGCACGGATCAAGAAATCCATGGTAAAGAGCACTGAGACCCTGAAGGCTGCATTTTCCAAAGAAAACATGAGCAAAACTAAAGACAACCTAGGCACCAAGTTCCACCACCTGGGCGAGAAGGTCATGCCTCCAGAGAGGAGGGAGAAGATGCACCAGGCAGGGGAGAGGCTGAAACAGTCCGGCGAGCGTCTGAAGGAGAACATCGCCAAGAAGGCTCCGAACAAAGAGACCTTCCGAATCAAGCTGAAGAAAGAGAGGGCCGTCGCTGAGGGCCAGGAGGGAGCCGACGCAGAGGGCGAGCTGGCCGATGCCAAAGAGGAGAAGCCTCAGAGCTCTACGGAAACTAAAAGGGAGGGACCGGTGGAGGAGACCGGTGCCACCAGAGTACCAGAATAGCAGAAAACTTCTCTAAATAGGAACCAGGACACTGGAGGAAGGAGCTTTGAGATTTTAGATGGTTGTTTCAATGAGTAAAGTTCAAGAGGAAGGGGCAGAATCTTAGAGAAAAAGTTATGAAATGTGTGAACTCAAGCAATCAGATGTTGGGTTTTTGTTCTTTTAAACATCTAAAACTGTGAGAACTAATCAAGATTGTGGTTTGGTGGGAAGTTTCTCAATAAGTTGAATTTATCTGAAGGAATTGGAGAACAGATGCTGCATTATTGCAACATGATTGAAGGAAAATTGATGAGCTTGGAAAGAATAATGAAGGTTGGTGCTTGCATAAAGGCCCTGTCACACCTGGATGGTTTAGCCAGCATATGCCCGACATACGAAAAATCTGGCAAAAATGCTGGCATACGTTTGATACGTTACGGAGACATTTTGTATAAGTTATGAGCACGCTGAAGAACGCTGAAAATCGCTGGAATGCGTTGATATACGGCTACTACGTCGGGAAATTTTTAGTATGCCACCTTATGCCATACATAGGGTATAAGTTACAGGTAAGTTATCTGATTGTTGACACACGTTCAGTATATGGTAGGTTACGCATAAGTCATGCCGTCTAGCTTATCCAAATGCTATGACTAACTTATGCATAACTTATCAAGAACGTATCTCCAACACATGAACGTATTTGACGTGTTCCAGACCTTACGCTGAACGAGTTTCCAACTTATAGCTACTGTTTAATGGAGTATTGGCAGCGTTTGGGTATAAAAGGGGTTCAAAGGAGGAAAGCGTCAGTTCCCCCCCTTCAGTGTGGATCCCCGTCATAGGGTAAGCGAGAAGGTGAGTGTGATGGTCACGACCAACAAACTTCCTAGCAGACATGACACTGAATCTGCGGCAACTACAAACCTTTTTTCTTTTTATTCTTTTTGTTTTGGCAGGCGATTGATATCACGATCAAAGAAATCTTTTTATGCAGGCAGGGCGCCTCCTGGTGCTTTGCTGCCCCCCTCAGGACACTGGCTTGTGACATTTCATGGGCATTACGCTGCCGTGCGTTATGCATAAATTAAGCTGTTGTTGGAAATACGCTCAGTTCATTATGAATACTCTATGTATACAACCAAAATTGAAAAAATACACAGAGTTCAGCGTATGCCAGCGTTTTAGGAGATTCTGGGACGTCAGGCATATGCTGGCTAAATCGGCAAGGTGTGAAAGGGCCCTAACAGTTTTCTGTCTAAATGTACGAAATCCTGTACAAACCTCAGGTTTTGGAGGGTGAAATTGGCTTCAGCTGGTCTGATGTCAGACCGGTTTCTGTCTGTAAACTACATCGACCTTAGCTTTAGGAAAACAAATGACAAAATACAAAGAGATTTAACAACCAAGAAGTTGAAATACCATTCATATCACTTTGTTAAATAAAGGTGCTGCTATAAGCAATGTGCTTGTAAACAGGAAGATGTTAACATAAAAACTTATTTTTTGATTTAATGATGCACCAAAATAAAATTTCCCATAGTTTTATTAAGATTTTTGTGACAAGAACTGTTAGAAAAGTTCAACTTTAGAGTAACACATCCCACTGTGGAGCAGCAGTGACCCCATGCTGACTGTAATTATTCATCTGGAAATCAACAGCTTTAATTTTAGCTTTACATGATTGTTAAAATCATGGCTCCTTTCAATGACTTGTTTTTTTTTTTTTTAAGTGCTTCCAGAACACTGTGTGAATTCACCTGACATGATTACTGAGTTCACCGCTTTGATTGGACGCTTTCTAATCTTCAGTCATCGAATTCTCCAAACCCATCCGCAGTCTAACTCCTTACATTAGGATAAAATCTTTCTATGTGATATCATATTCCTGTTTTTTATACTGCTGCCATTCATCTTCTGCAGTAGAAAGTTATTTAGGTTTGATTATTTTCTAATTTTTTGATCACATTTTAGATTCAACATCTTTTCTGTTTTTATTATAGTTAATCAGAAAATCCAAAATTCTCAGCGTCTCTTTCACTGTATTTTTTCTGTTTTGATTTTGTATAAATACATGTCACCTGACAGATCAAAAAATAAAGCTGTGTTATGCGTTTCTTTTTGTAACAGATTCATTTTATTTCTAACAGATCTCTTTTTGAAAAGAGAAAAAAAAAAAGACCAGAAAAATTGGATTATAAAAAGCTGCATCTTAGATCTGAGCGGCCATTCAACCTCTATGTTTAGTGTCACCTACAGTAGTGGTTAGAAGGCTGCTGAGTTTCTCATTCATTGTCCAGTTTCTATTATCACTCTCCTTTCCATTTGTTTGGTTCTTTGTATGTTTCTCGATTGCTTTAAGAGGTTGTCTGGCTTGTTTGCTCTGTTATTTATTTGGTTTTTGGTGGTTTTAAACAGCTTGTTTAATTTTTTAATCATTAGGTTAATGTATTAGTTGCCGTTATTTGCTTTATTCCTCTCTTTAATCATGATCTCCTTTAATTTACACAAGCTATAAAATCAAATGATGTAATAAATTGGTCTTCCTCTTTGTGTTTTCACTATTCCTTGTTAATTTGACAAACAGTTTCTACCAGACTCATTGATATTTGGGGGGTATCACATGCAGTGGTTGGATGTAACGAAGTACAGGTACTTGGTTGCAGTACTTAATTAAATTTTTTTATGTATCTGTACTTTACTTAAGTAGATTTAACAATGGATACTTTCTTTTACTCCACTACAATTTACATGAAGTACCTGTCCACTACAAATTCTAATGTAAGTCATATTGTATTTTTCATTTATTTTGTTAGTTTTGTTTGAGAATTTGAAAGTAATCAAATGCTAGATGGAGATTGGCCCACTGAACAACTGAAAAAGCGAGCAGGTAACGTTGGCTCCGCCTCCCCCAACGTGCATCTAAAATAGATTCAAGCACGGAGTGTCCGCCAACAGAATTGTGCACACTTGGCTTTATTTAAAAGACTTGTCCTTGTGAAACATAATTGCAATTCATTTAGAAAATACTTTTAATACTTGAAGTATTTTTTTAAAGTACTTTGTTACTTGAACTTAAGTACCGTTTCTGAGTACTTTTTTCCACCACATTCAGCAAATAACCGCTTGCTTATCAAAATTATTTGGTTGAAAACATTTTGATCAGATATAAGATATTATTAAGTTAAGAAATATCAGATCAAATTTTCTTCATTAATTTATCATTCATCAAGTTCATGTAAATCATCAGATTGCTCAGAATTTTAGTGCTGGTAAAAATTATCAAGCAAAGTCAAAATAAATTCAACCACCAATGAAGATATATTCAATTTAGTTTTTGTATATAAACAAGCCTCAGTTTTAATGCCGTCCCAAAAAAGACCATCATCTAGCCTTAATTCCTGGGGGAGGTGGTGATATTCTTAGTACTTATTCCGTGGAATCCCGGGGAATTTGACGGCAACAATTTTCGGCTTTCGAAAGTATAAAGAACACAGCAATATGCTCTGAGAAATCAAGGCCTGTCATTGTGGAAATCGACAACCAAAAACCGAAAAACATAGATTTTTCTTTCCTCTCCCGAGCATTGAGAAATGAAAAATGACAAACACTTAATGAAACACTCATTTTTTATATTTGTTTTTTTTTTTTTTTTGCCAATTCCTTGTGGCATTGTTTTTTTAGAATTGAAAAATTAAGACAGTTTCAGAGAGGGTCCGGAAGTGCGAACAGAGCATGCTCAGGGGTCTTTGGATGGCACAGAGCGTGCTCAAAAAGAGGATCTAACTGAGCAGAAATGCTGAAAGGACCTGAGTGAGGAGCAGCACTGGGTGAATCTGCCAATGGAGAAACAGTAAAAGCACCTGGATGAGGAGAAGGGCTAGATCAGGGGTCGGCAACCCAAACTGCAACGACACGGGCTCTAAGTGTATTAGACCACTATGAAAAAAGGACAAGGTGGGCTTAAATATATAATTAGCATTCATGATTAAATGTTTATCTGGAGCAAATGTCACATAGTAGCATTAGGTGAGTAAGGAGCAGTGAATGTTCTCACCGCACGATGCTTTACTGCGTGGTTTTGAAGCATTGATGAAATTATAGAAACACAATAAAGGAATCTTTCTATGGTGGACATGTTTCTGTTGGGAGGAGCTAATTGTGTCACAAGGAACCAGGCAGGAACTGACATCCATCAGAGCAGAGCTCTCTAACCCCAAAATCCCACATCATCCGTCACCAGTGTAGTTTTTATCTTCAGGATTTGGGGGAAAAACATGGAAGAAAGTTCACATACCTGCATCAGAGCGCTACCTGTTTGATCTGTGGACAGTTTTCCATCCTTGCAACCAAACCAGCAGCAGGAGTGGAGTTTGGAGATGCAATCCACTTTTTAAATCTATCTTTGTGCTCCTCTAATTTATCCAGAAGTTCTGCAATCGCACTTTTTCTCTCACTCCCAACTTGGTGGTCGGCCGCATATTTAGCATGCCTTCCCTGTAAATGCCTTTCCAAATTTTTTATTTTTTGACAACCTGTCTTACAAAGCAAAAATGCAGGCAATCCTTCCGCATTGATAATGAAAGCAAATGACTTGGTCTATTTGAATCGTCTTTTCTCAGCTATCTTCCTTTTTTCCCCTTTGGAATCCATGGTCCGATACACACCCACCGCTTTGTTTACCTGGCACCGCGCACGGCTGGTTGCAAGTTATGGCCACTGATCTCTATGGCTATAATGCAAATTATTGTTTACATTTATTTATTATACAAATATTTACAGCATTGGGAAACATAATTAATTTTTGTTTGACCTCCTGCAAACCATATTAAAACAAACAAAAATAACAAAAATAAAAATAGATTTTTATAAATTTTTTAGAAAGCCCCAGCGAGCCGCAAGGGGGACACCAAAAATGACAATGCGGCTCCGGAGCTGCGGGTTGCCGCCGGGCTAGGTGAATCTGCCTTAGGAGAAATGCAAAAAGGGTCTGAGTGAGGAGAGAGAAAACCTACAGGATCTGACTCTGGAGGGGAAAAATCAAGAAGATGACAAAGCAACAAAACAACAACAAGAAACCAGCACTGAGTGACTGCAGAGGTGGTGTATATATGGGGAACAAAACAAAGGGTGGGCTAATGAGCTGAATATGGAGCAGGTGTGAGAAGAACTAATTAAAAGGAAGCCAAGGGGAAAGGAAACAACACAAGGGGCAACAGAGAGTAACTCAAGAACTCAACACTGCTAGAAAACAACTACAAAGACAAAGAATACAAGAAACTAAAAATAAACTTAATCAAAGGGCAGAACCTTGACAGGAAAATCCCATCATGGACAAACGTGTGACGCGCTTCATGCTCCCTATGGGTGCCACAATGAACATGAATGGTGCTGCTCTCTATGAAGCAGTGGCGGCATATTTATAGTCCATGGACTTCAGCTTTGGACAAATTACTTTTCTCAAAAATCTTAAAAGCGATGACTGCGTTTTCTTTCATGCCCCAAGATTTAATACTTTGTTAAACCACTTTACATGGCACAACCAGATTTTGTCAATTCTAATTTTCCAAAAATTCTTAGTGAGATCTGTTTTTTAGTGTAAATTTATGTTTAATTTTCTGGTTTTGCAAGCTTTTGAGTCATTTCCTAATAAATCGTCTTAGTTCACTCCATGGTCATGCTCTTTCCAATATCTGCAGCTGGTAAATTCTAACTCATTTGATAATGTCTCTCTAATCCCAGCCCCATCATAGGAGCTGATTATTTAATACATTTTTTATACATTTCTCAGTTCTATCTTCCTTACGCCATTCTTTTTGATCACCACATCAGTCGTGATATTTTCTTCTCTGTCTAGCTCTGTCGTAATGTGAAATATTTAACAACTATCTTTAACATACACTTCAGTCCAATGTCTGTAATAAACGTACTTTGTTCACACAACTCACATATATATAATTTATAAGTTATCTAAGCAACAGGTAACAGGCAACATTTTGTGCAAATGGGTGACTGCCAGTCATTGTGCTTGGAAATTGTTTGTGGTGTCCCCCAGGGGTCAGTATTGGGGCCCAAATTATTAATTGTTTATATTAATTAATATCTTCAAAGTTTCTAAAATATTTACATTCGTTTTGAATAATGTGGGTAAAAAAACATACAATAAACAGGAAGTTAACTTTACTTTAAGTGACTTTAAGTGCAGTTTGATTCTTACTCATACCCCTTTTCAGACTATTTAAATGAATTGGTGGCAGTTCTCTGGCTGTATATACCGACCGTTTCTTGTTGGGTTGGGTTTTGTTTCTATTTATGTTCAGGTGAATTTAGTTAGTTTGGAAATTGGAGTTTGCTTTGGTTTGATGTTAACCACTCTCTTTTTGTGTGTATTTGGTTGTTTGTTCCTTTTCATTTCATTTTCAATTTGTCTGAGCTTTTTTATTAGTCCATTTAGCCTTTTTAATGATATCAACAAAAAAGTTCCGAATTTCCTTATTGATCAATTCCCAATGGTTTTAAGATTGCTTTTTTAGAGCAACATAAATGTTTTTTCTTCAGTGCTATAAAACAGCACTTTCAGTTAGAGTCAAATAAATAAACTCAACTTGTTATTTAAAAAAAACTTTCATATTGACTAGACTATAAAAATCCTGACCCTAAATGTCATGTAAACATTAACACTGTTAATATTCCCCCCATGTGTAAACCACCATCTGCTGTTTATGTCATTGATGTGTTAAAAACAAAAGTTTAAAGAACGTACATGTAATGAGTTTGTGCTCTTTACACTGTGCCTGCTGCTTTACTGTTAAGTTTTTTCAGCTACGGTGTTAAAAATGTAATTATAGTTGACCATACTGTATTTTGTTTAGACAATATTTGCACCTCTATTGAACAGCTTCTTACTAAACAGCGCTTTTGAAAATGCCATGTTTTGGTCATGTAGTTGGCGCCCTCTAGTGGACAATTGTCAGTATGGCAACAACAAAACAAAAAAGTAATCTTGGTATTTACTGTGACAGATTAGGTGCATTCTTTACTCCATACTGGTTTGAATCAAACTGTTTTTCTTATAAAAGTAGCATCAATTTTCCTTTTATTTACATTTCAACACAGATATATATTTTGTAACTTTAATTTGCTCTCAAAAATATACCATAAATTTGTCTTTGTTAATTTCTGTTAGTGATTATTGTAATCATTTTTAGCCATCATCAAAAAAATTGAAGGGGTAAATCTGGTACCATTTAATGAGAGATATTATTATGATTTAAAGCAAAAGTAGAAAATCTCTGGTATAATATAATATCAATTTCAACTTTATTTCTATAGCACATTTAAAAACTGTTACATCTGCCCAAAGTGCTTTACAACAAACATTATAAAGTGCAATAAATGAGTAAAAAGATTATTACAAGTTGCACAAACATAATAAAATAAATAATTATAATAATACAAATAATACAAATACATGAGACCTGCTCAGCTTTTGCTGAATAATGAATATAGTTTCCTTTTATTAACTTTTTTTTTCTTGTTTTATTGTTAAGT